TTTTTTTTACAGTGACCGACAGCTGAATAATCCTATCCGATTGGGTAGTTAAAGATGTACACAGAACTTTCAAGCCATTATTTTGCTCGTAAGTTACTAAAGTTAGATACAGAAGAAACATATATATATTAGAGAGAGAGTTTGACATAATGTGCTGCAGTTTTACATGGCATGAGGCACTATTCTGCTTCTCCCACTAAATGTGAACGAGAAAAACTCAGCATTTGCTTAAAAGGTAACTAAACTTGCATTTTGAGCTCAACCGAGTTTAACTACTTGCAGGTTAAAGAATTTTTCATATCTGTTTTTCACAGTATGGAAAAATGGAAAAAAAAACTGACGAGTCTCTATCAGGTCGGCTGGAGACTGTTTGATTCTTAGCCCTTATGTTCACTAGAAACTGATGTATAGATGATTTATTGCCATCTTGAATTGTGTAGGTCGTTCGTTCTCTCTTTTTTTTCGACCGGTAGAAATTCTTAGTACATAATAGTTGGATACTGTAAACGCATTCTTACATAAACAGATTAGCTGAATTCAATGTCTTGCTATTGTTGAAATAATGGAGGAAAAAAGTAAATGAATCCTACCAATGAAGTATGAGTTATGTAATCTTATGTAATGTTGATGAACTATTTGATGATATTCCCCTTGGAGATCATATGTTTTGTGATAACTACTAATTGGTATCAATATACTTGATGGTGAACTGGCAATAACCTTACTCAAGGTTGTATCATTTAGACAATTTTATGTTATTTAAAGTTGTGCTAATGCTACTCTCAACTCTACCTCATGTACATATGGAAAAATAAGTATCGATAATTATAAATATATGAGTCGATGCGTAGCGGATTTTGTTAGAAAATTGTGTACTGATGATTAGTTGATGTTACTTAACTATATTGATAATATTGAGAATAGTTAAATAGAAGTAAATTTGAGTTATATTTTGAGTTAAAGAAATTTTATCCAATCGTAGTTCCATAAAAAAATATCTAACCGAGTTAAAACAAGAAATGTTCTATATATATGTATTTTTTGGGTCAAATGATAAATAAATAAATAATAAAAAAAAAGAGTACATCCGAGATGTCAAAAGATACCATTAGAACTATAACAAGGTCTTGATCAAACTTTATTGGAATTAGGCAGGCAGCCAAGGATGGATCAACTCCCATTCGAGTTATACAAGCAGTTAAGGGTATACGAGCACTCGGGAAACAAAAACTCCAAACCGAAGACTACACAAAACACCAAAAAGGGGACTAAGAAACACCACGAGGGATACTAACAAAAGAAAAATACAATACACCCCTGCAAATACAACAAAAAAATCCCAACAGAGTTGCAAATCTAAGGCCCCATACCAAAAAGCTGCGAACAAACTCAAGACGCCTAATCAGATTTGGCGATGAGACAAATCTCACCGGTCCCACCTCCACTCCCCGCCGTCACCTCCACGCCTAACTCCACCTAGTCGGGAAAGGCAATAGGAGACCCTATCAGACCTCCTTCAAGCGTTCATGTGGAACGAAAGGGGAACTGCAATCACCGACCTCGCCATGGCCGAGAAAGGGGGAGCGCAATGGGCGGCCGACCAAGAACAAGGAAGGGTCGCCCAAAAAAATAAAAATAAAATAAAATAAAAGAGAGATGAAGCTTGTTCTGCCGATAAAAAAATATCAGAGAGAGAAAGTGTCGAGGTGTACTTTTTAAAAACCTACAATAAAAATGTTTTATTTTGGATCGCTGTTTTTTTACGAGAAGTACCATATGTCGTGTTTTGAATTAGCAGGAGGACTTGTCAAAACATATTTGGGCCCAAGGATAGCTCGCCCCGCCCCGCCCCGCCCCACCACATATACGAGTTGGGTTGTTTTAAAGACTTACCAAAGAGCAGATCTAAACGAGTTAAGGACTTGTCAAAACATATCTGAGCCCAAGAATAGCTCGCCCCACCCCGCCCCGCCCAACAGACGGGTTAGGTTGTTTTAGAGGCTCGCCAAAGAGCAGATCTAAACGAGCTGACTCGCCACGGGTTTTGGTAGCCGGGCCACATCCAACTCGTTATTAAAAATTAAAATAACGAGTTTACATATACATAATAGTTGAGTTTAACACGACTTACACCTCACTTCTCCAGTCACGCTTATCCTTTCTATTTCATAAACCCAAAACATAGACGGGCCGGTGAATTCCTAAACCCCTTTATCAGCACTCATTCTCTCAAGCCTCTGTATTCGGTACTCTCAAAATCGACCGGTGTGCGGCGACCTTGGAGCGGCGAAGGCGAGCGGAAAGGCAGCGGCGAAGGAGACGGCAACCGGCGAGACATTGGAGCGGCGAGCGGCAAGGCAGCGGCACAGAGAGTGACTCCGAGCGGCAACGATAAGGCAGCTTCCATTCCGGTAATGATGCCTGAACGTGAAAACTGAAAATGAAGTGTGATTTCTGATTTATTAATTAATTTTGGTTATTAAACTTTGAATTCTGAAAATGAAGTGTGAATTCTGATTTATCGAACTCATTTATTCACCCTCAAGTTTCAATTTGCTCCCAGGTCTCAGTTTGATCCTAAGCTTTATTTTCCCTTTTTTTTTTTTTGGTTTTTTAAATATGCGGGGCGCTGCGGGGTTTGGCCGGGCTGCCTTTTACAGGCCCTCTGAACAATTATATCAATTATCACATTATCGCATACTAAGAAAAATCAAATTTACTTGTAGCATAGAATTTACAAAAATTAAATAGACAATCAAGCTAATTAATTAT